ATATGGGACCTCTATTTCAATGAGACTTTTATCTTGCCAAAATCAAATCAAGGTTCCTACTGTTGGTTTAATTTTACAGGGGCATTTTCCCCCCTTTAAGTTTTAAATTTATGGCCAACATCTAGCCTACGTGAACATATCCTGGTCATGTGAAATTATAGTCCCCCTTGATGTTGCAGGTCTTTATATAAGAGTCTGTTCAGGCCTAAAATGTTAACCAGTGCAGCGAGGCACTGCTGAATAGAGTAGAGGGGGAAAGGGTTATTATGGCAGGAAGAGAAATGAACAGTGCTTAATGAACTTGCATTACAATTGAGCAGAGTTTTTAATAAAAAAAAAAAAAAAAAAAGCTTTTTCTAAATTCTTTTGCTCAGCAACAAAGGAGAAAGGAAAAGAGCACTGGCTGGGAACAATAGCTACTCAGCTCATAAAAATCATTAGAAGGAACATTTCCTTTGTCTACCATGCCCAGCAATTTCACTGGTGGGCAATGATCCAGATCACTTAGATTCCACCTAAAATATGAGTCCAGAGAACCTTCTCAACTTTTTCAGCTAATAAATTATACTAAAAAATTCTAATTTCTGAACATAATTCTACTATAAATAAAAATCTGCTCATAATTCATGGAATGTTTTTGACAAGTAGATGATACTGATCTAGTGTTAATAGGATGTGCTCTTCAGGTTGCTGCTCCATTGGGAGAGAGGGACAATGTTGACACATTTGCTCACTATCATCAAATCCCCTTTATAGCCAGAGGCCTTTTTATCCAGGAGGTGACTGCAGGGACCAGGCAGAGTGCCAATGCATGGCCTGGTTTCCTCTGGGTACAGTGAACTGGCCCATTTGGATATTTAACTTCTCATTGCTGTCTCTCTAGCTCATCCTAAGTGAGTTAGATCAGACAAACTTCCTATTTTTGACATTTAAGGGCCTGGCGATTCATCTGCTTTCACAAATGTCATTAAATTACCATAAGCCAATTGCCAAATGTGTTGTGCTCAAAGCTTTCAGCTGGGGCCTCCCTGGTGGCTTAGGGGTTAAGTCTCAGTGCTATCATGCTATCACCACTGTGGTCTGAGTTCAATCCCTGGCCAGGGAGCTAACCCATATGGTGTAGCAGACCTCTCCTGTCTCACCCGCTATTCCTCTTAGCAGTATATTTCAGTAGAATCGCCAGTTCTGCTCCCCACTCTGTCTCTGCTGAATCCTCTCACTCCCCGCATATCCCAGTTCTTTTATGGATAAATAAAAATAAATCTTGAAAAAAATAAAAGTTCTTTTCTGTATTCAAGTCTTTCTATGAAAACCAAAGGGTTTCTGTACTTGGATAAAATGTATTATTTCTAAAGATCTTGCTTTGCAATCATAAGCATGCCCAGAAATAAAAGTCTTAATAATTCTTGTTTGTTCGAAAGAATGAGGCAAAAAAAAAAAAAAAAAAAATTCCCTATATTTAAGAATTCGGGTTTTTTTTTGTATTCAGTTTGAACTTATTTCATAATTTAAGAATGAACTTATTTTATGTATCTTTACTATCTGGTGATAAGTTTTCAATATTTTCTAAATGTCTAAAATGCATTTCAAGCCAAATATAGGAAACAGTTTGAAAACAAAGTAAAACAATCTTTTCCATAATCAATATACTTTTTTCCTTATTAAACTTCCCTACTTTTATGCTGGAGATAGACACCATCAACTACAGTCTAGATGACATTCCCTAAGTTCACTAAACTTGAACTCTTTAATTAACTGTCCATTTGACTTACACTTTCTCTGGAGTCTTGGAAGTAACTTTTGTTATTTTGTAACTTTTATTACTTTCAAGGTCTTTCTTGTTTCTTCAGATTGCATCTAAGATGTAAGAATAAACAAAAACTGCAATATCAACAAAGAACTTAATTAAGCAGTTATGCAATGACAGCAAATATGTAAAAGCAGTCTTTACTGAAGACAGGTAACCGTTCAAACAAGCTTTTTACAGATAACAAAGAGCTGAGGGTCAGTACCATTTAAAATTCAGTTCTATAAGTACAATGCCATTCAGAGAATGACTTCCAAATTAATATCTACCTAAAACAGCAGTTTATGCTTTCGGAACTATTTCAACTAGTTGTATTTAAATTCTACATTCCTAAAATTTTTTTTTAAAGCAATAGTTCACTTGATATGAATAAGGGGTTAAAACAAAACAAAACCAAATCACCAATCACCGTGCCCTGATACATATTGAAAGACAGTCAGTAATTTCAGAGCCTCCCACTGTCTTCCCCCTTGGAATCCAGCAGGTTCTATAATTATGAGACCTACTGACAGAGACAATCTGACTTTGTACCTTCCCTTCATGTCTCCTAGACCTCCATCTCTTGCAACACAGTTACCACAGTGTGGTGACACTCTTAACCCTGTACAAAAGCCTATGTAGAGAGAAACCAAGGCTCTCAGCTGACAGCCCTGGTTATCTCCTAGACAAGTCAGTACTAACCTGCCAGCCACATGGAGGTGGCTCTTCCAGCCCAACTGACTCTGCACAGAATGGAGATGAGCTATTCCCACCATGTGCCACCCCAGCTGCAGATTTAAGAGTAAAATAAATGATTACTGGAACATACCACAAATCTTAATTCAAGGTATTCTAATAGATTTTAAATTAATTAAATGGGATAATTAGAGCAATAATTATATTGAGTATTTGTTATGACTAAAGGCTTTATACAGCTACAACCTCATTAGACAAAAATTATTATTTTTCTATACTATAGAAAAATATAGATCATGTAATAGAAGGACAATCATTAAGATCATGTAATAGGAGGGCAATATTCAAAAACAGATCTGTTGATTCCATTCCGCATGCCTAGCAGGAAAATGGGAATAAAGGAATACCAAGCTAATGCTCGAGACTCCAACTCTCACACTGTGTGAATAAGAAAATGATATTAATTAAAATTGTGTCTGAGGGTATCCCAATATTGATTAGCATAACTTTCAAATTTAGCGATAACATATTTTAAAGCATAGTATTCAGAAAACATTTTCTTAGTACTTACTTCATGATTTCTACTAAGTGCAAGTGTTCAAACTAAAGAGAGATAACTAAAAATGGTAAGATTGTTGATCTGGAGGTTCCCATACTTTAATAGGAGAAATAAGGCATGTTGTAAGTGACAAAGTGCAATGAGAATTCATTCATTAATTCGGGAAATAATTGTTGGGTGCTAATGTAGCAATGACCTAGGCAGATCTGGTCCCTGCTGCCAATTCATATCACTTTCGCTGAAAGCACCAGCAAAGGAAGGCTAAATTTTAGCTTGGTCTTTTTATTTTTTTTTTTAAGATTTATTTATTTATTTATACAAGCACTGGGTACAGTCAGAAGCGCGGGAGGGTGAGAGGATTCATCAGAGCCAGAGCAGGGAACAGAACAGGCAGACTAACGAAATACACTGCTGAGGGGAGCAGCGGGCGCGGCAGGAGAGGTCTGTGTGCTATGTGGGTCCCTCGCCAGTGGCTGGGGATGGAACCGGCGATGCAGAGGCTGTGGGCAGCTTCGCAGCCCAGCGCTCAACCGCTGCACCACCAGGGGAGGCCCTTTTTTTTCCCTAAAAATTTATTTATTTTTATACAAGAGCTGGGGTACAGGCACGGGAAGGTGAGAGAGAATTCACCAGTGAGAGCGGAAAGCAGAACAGGAAGATGGAAGAAAGACACTGCTGAGGGGAGCAGTGGGAGAGTCAGGAGATAGCTGCCACATCATGTGGGAATCTCCCTGGCCATGCAGGAATGGAACCCGCGCTGCAGTGGCTGCAGACAGCTTTACAGCTCAACCCGCTGCGCCACTAGGGAGGCCCTCTAGCTTGGTCTTGATCTATCCCTAGGCTCTGGACACTTGAGAGATTTGGTGTTTAGGAGGGCATTCGAGGTAGAAGGACAATAAGCAGAAAAATAGGGCATGCAAGGGGACTTAAATAAGAACCATATTTTACTGACTCAAATTCAATCAATTTTAAGTCAGGTCATTATTTTATGTAAAAAAAAAAACCAAAATACTAAATATATACAGCAGAGGTTCTCTCAACTAGGGGTGATTTTGCCCTCCAAGGGACAACTGGCAATGTCAGTAAACATTTGGGTTGTTACAACTGAGGGGGTGCTAGTGGTCTTCAGGTACAGGCAGGGATGCTGTACCTTCAGGTACAGGCAGGGATGCTGTTAGTCATCCTAGAATACACAGGAGAGTTCTGCAAAAAAAAAAAAAGGACTTATTCAGCTCAATATGTAAAAACGGCCAATGTTGAGTATTCCTAGAAGATGCCATAGATTGAAAGACACACCTAGAATATTGAAAAAGTATTTTAAGATATGAAATGTATTAGTTCATAAATGTACTAAGGGATGAATGCAGGGCTTGTAAAGGAGTATTGGAAAATAATGCTAGTACTTGGTACCTCAATCTGTTTTTTCACCTTTAGAACAATAAAGTGATGCGAACGAAGGGCTGATTTGAAAAAATCAGTGTGTGTAAATCACAGAGCTAGCCCTTCAAGACCATGTGTTCATTTTCAGCTTTTGAGAAACCCAGCACTTTAATCATATTAATTATTATGTCCTATTTTTGCTAATTCTGATGGGTTCAGGAGAAACAACTCACTAGTTATATGGTATCTTATTGTTTGAAGCCCAGTGCAAGGCCACTTATTCTATGCAGTCTCCTGCAGCACCCCCCAAGATATTAGTTTTAAAGTACTCATGTGATTTATCTCTCTTCTAAGTGTAAGTGCCTTTAGATCAGGATCCATGACTGGGTCACACCTGAAACTCTCAGAGGACACACACTACAGTGCCTGATACAGTATAGGTAGTCAGTAAATAACTGTAGGATATATGTTTATTAATATAATATATATTATATAACTTACATAATATATATACATAACATAAACATACAGTACATGATACATAAACATGTTTTTCTATTATATAAATTATATAATACATATTATATAAACATACAGTACCAGAAGACTAATTAAATATAAAGTCTTCAGATTTCTCCCAGTTCTTTTCAGCCTTTCCTCATAGGGCTCATTTTGTGAATCTTTATAATCATTTTAGTAGCTCTCCAATGCTTCAGCTACAGGGTCTCAGAGAGAGCAGAGTTCTTCAATAACTCCTAACTATGACTTCAAAAAAACACCATTTTCCCAAGGGGTGGCTGTCAGTATTTGGTCTCAAAACACTTAAGGCACCTTCTATAGGCAGAGTACTAAATTCCTCTGACGAAACAAGGGGTGATGCAAGTATAAATATAATAAGCAGGAAAAAAATTTCTACTCACTGGTCACACATCCCAATTACATTATTGATTATCTTATTTTTGCATCAGTTTGTGGAGCAAAGAAAAGTTGGGGAGTAGGGAAAGAATTTAGGACTAACCATGAAAATCTTGAGATGTATGAAAATTACAAAGAAAAGGAAACAAGGGAAAAAGAGCAGTCATAAAATTTTAAGGAGTTCATTTAAATGCTAATACTAAGATTATTAATCTTTTATTATTATATAGCTTAATCATGGAATAAATGATTGTGGTCAGTACACATGAAAATTAAGAAGAACGTGGTTTAGATTCATTCGCAGACGTTTCTTTTTCAAGTTACCCTTTTTTCCCTTCAAAGTAGCTCTTAAGCATCAATCAATGTTTGGTGGTTGCTTCTAGCAAGTCTTTTGCTTCATTTATTTTGGTTGCTAAGTAAGGAGAGCCACCTGAGAAGACAAAGAAAAAATAAATGGTAAATGGATAACACACTTCATTATTGACATTTTCTAAAGTCAAATACAGAAGACCATTCAATTACAATTCTCAGATATTTTCCATATATTCACCCTCTGACAAATTATTTTATAAGCTGAGTAGAAATCAAAAGAGCATAAATTAGTTTAATGGAGCACTGCAGACACCCAACAATGATAAATAATCTCTGGAAAAAACAATGCAAGTTATGATCAAGAATAATTTGAAAAAACACTCAAACTTTTTCGCTGGTTAGATATCATAATTCAAATAGTTAGCCGGAGAATTTTCTGGTAATAAATAATTGTCTTTCTTCTAGACTTTTTTTAAAGGAAAGAATATCCATCTACGAAGGGGGATATATATCTGCAGGAGGTAAAGAAATCCAAGGGATCTTTCAGTCTTATCAAGTTTCCCATTTCCACAAAAATACATGTTAGGAAGGGCAACTATGTACCAGACAGTTCTAAAAATCATGTTCACTAATACAGATGAATGAGTGATAATAATAATGTTAAAGGAAATGTTTCCTGTGTCTAAAAGATCCCATTTTAATAGTTAGGGCATAGTAGATTTACTGTGCCCTGAAAAAAAACTGTCAGTTTAAAGTTCTTTGAAAAAAAATTCTTTCTAATGTTAATAGCAAAAAGAAAACTGTAGTGAATTTCAAATTTAGAATCATTATAAATCACAGAATCTATTTGACATACAAAAATACTAGCCCCAAACTGTCAACGTTAAATCTACTTAAACATCATATGCCTTCTAATTTCAAGTCTTGAACACTCTCCTTGCTTAACACTCAAGCTAACAATCATAATACAGTCCACCAGTCTTGTTTTGTTTGTTTTTATTTTTATTTTCCCCTTGATTACAAACCATCTATAGCTGTTGAAAGCATCCTAAAGCCTCAGTAGTTTATAGCAGACCAAAAGACACATACACAGTATTGGTGTAAATTGTTCTGATTTTATTCAGGCCTTTTATTGATATCCTATTACCCACCTTACAAAGGAAAGAGAAAGCAAGGAAAACAGATCAACTAACATGGTACTACAAGGGCAAGTCAGAGGAAGCCGTAGTTGTTTGCCCTTGAAGACATCAATGACATTTTCATATCAAGATCTGATGTTATAAACAGCATGTCTTCAAATGTACAATAAGAATTTCAAAGGAAGGTCATGAATGTTTCCATATGTACTTAGTTATTGATGGATTTTATGACTGCCTTTGAAATTGATCTAGGAATTAAATAATGACAATCTTGATAAGGTGCTTAAATTTTAGAGTTACCAAGTTAATACCCAGCATTGTGTATGTCCTCAAAAAATAGTAATTGAATTTCTACAGAACCTTCAATTAATATACATTCTGGATATTTGTATCATTGGTAATATGCTCATTTCATAGGCAGGAAAAAAAAATCAAAGATAGGAGATCAAAAGTCTTATTAACACTCTACTGATGACAATGTGAGAAGAAAAAAACCAATTTATCAGATTACTGAATTGCCACTTATTTCTACAAGTTACAGGAACAATGGTCTTGGATTAGGACAAATGTTTGGATTGGCTGTCATACTACCGTTATTCTAACTTCTTAAAGCAGAAAAGCTCCTAGGGCCTCCCCGGTGGCGCAGCAGTTGAGCGCTGGGTTGCGAAGCTGCCCGCGGCCTCTGTGGCGCCGGTTCGATCCCCAGCTGCTCCCCGGCCACTGGAGGAGGGTCCCACATGGCGCACAGACCTCTCCTGCCGCCCGCTGCTCCCCTCAACAGTGTACTTCGGTCCTTCTGCCTGCTCTGCTCCCCTCTCTGGCTCTGGTGAATTCTCTCACCCTCCCGCGCTTCTGACTGTACCCAGTGCATGTATAAACAAACAAACAAACAAACAAATAAATAAATAAAACATGCCTCTATTAAAAACAAAAAAACCAGAAAAGCTCCTAAGGCAAAAACTGAAATTCCTACATCCCTGTCAAGTTTGTTTGATTCAAATTAAGATCTATCAGTGAGGACCAATCTCATGAGATTTGGAAGGCTACAGTGAGGAAAAGGTTTTCTTGCTGGATCACTTTATTACTGCAGTAAGGGAGATGACGGGGTAGAGGTGATAGTAAACTGTGCTTTTCTACAGTTCTAATGGCATTCCATGAAGTGGTAGCCTCCTTAACAGAGCAACTCTACATAATTGTTTGGGGAGTCATTCTTTGTAGGCCAAGTCTAGAATTCATTACTTCAGGTCTTCCAACAATTTGTAACATTCATTCTCTGTACTAAATGATCTGCTGTTTAAATCATCTAGGTTTTGGCAATGAATTCTGATTGAAAAAACAATACTCTGTGTTTAGTGGAAATAATGTGCTCTTAAATCTATCAATCCTGCTCAGATTTCTTGGGGGAATCATCTGGATTCCAGTGAATTAGAACTCTCACTCTCACCTTTGATCTAGTACCTTTGTATTTCAAACACTAAATACTGCTGGAACTCTTCTGCTTTTAGCAATCATTAACTGTCATGTTTTAAACCAAAGCTCCCATTGACACCATCAGTGGAAACTGAATAAAAATACAAGCATACACGTCACTATGAAAGCTGGAGGTCTACCAACTCAGTAAGGTCTTAAAGGCCAAGGTCCTGGCAGGAAGGAAAATACACAGTGTTGAGTCCAAAGCCCAGTACTGCTTTTTCCTGTCCCTGAAAGGAACCAGACACTAAATGACATATACTCATGCAAGTCCACTTACATGAAATGCCAAAAAAGACTTATCTATTCCACAGTAGCAGAAAGCAGAACAGTGAGTATCCAAGTTGGGTTAGGGACTGCCAAAGGGAAGGGTGCCAAGGAAACTTTTGAATTTTGAGTGTTTGACTTCATCATGTCAGTGGTCACATGGGTGGATATACAAAATTGTCAAAACACATCACACCAAACATTTACATAGATTTTTTTTTGTATATAAGCTATATCTCAATATAGTTGATAAATAAGCCATAAACTGTATATTGGTTACAAGAGACTACTTAGTTTTTAAAGAAGAGAAAAACACACACACACAAATAAAATTGGTAATGCCACACCAGTTACCAGGTGTGTACACTTTAAGGCAAAATTCAATACTAGAGATAAAGTAGGGAATTTCATAGTGTTAAAAGGGTCAATCTACTGGTAAGACAAAACAATTGTAAATTTGAATATACCTAATGATATAATCTCAAAAACAAAAGGAAAAAATGAAAAGAATCAAGCATACAAATACACATTCAGCTGGAGATCTAACATAGCTCTCAGTAATCCATAGAACAATTAGACAATAATAAGTTGGATAAATCAATACTTTGTCTAAATGATATATATATATAAAATATTCCACCCAACAAGTGGAATATATCCTCTTTTAAATTACACATGCAACACAGAACATGGGCTAGACTATATATCAAGTCTCAATGAACTTTAAAGACTAAGATCACAATGAATAGAGTTACCTTAAGTGTATCCCATGGACTAACTCTGGCTTACAAGTGTTAATAGACTTCAACTAGACAGATTTAGAAATGAAGGATGTGTTCAGGTTTAGAAATGAAGAATGTTTAGAAGATATTATAGCCATTTACTATAGTAGTGTACATCTGAAGAATCTAATAAAAAACTAGAATTTAGGATCTAGGTCTTCTATATCTTTTCTTATTCCAATTTTCTAATAAATTCATTTTTATTATATTTTATGAAAGTTATCAGTCTACCTAATATTGGGGGGAAAAAAGAAGTGCTCTATCACAGGTAGTTTGTGCAGTAATGATATAAAACATGTTAACTGATGACAGTAGAATTAAGGTAGAAATCAATAGTGTCTAGGGGATCCCAGTGTTTGGAAATAAGTCAATATGCTTTTAAATAATCCATGCATCAGACAAAATACCGCAATAGAAATTAACATTCAAGAAAATTAACAATGTCAAAGGTTCTCTGAAAATATGAATGAATTTCATACCAAAGCATTAAAATTTAATACATTCTAGGAAAAACACAATATATCAAAACTGATACAGGAAGAAATGGAAAATCAAAAGAATCATATATATTTTTAAAGTTAAACCAATAATTAAAAACTTTCCCACAAATAAAAAGGTTGGTAAAGATAGTTTTATCTGTGTATTTAAAAAACAAACAAACAAACAAAAACAACCCAGAAGAATAAAAAAATTCCAACTCTTTCAATGAGGTTAGCATATCTCTGGCAACAAACTCTGATGAAGATATCATAGGATGAACAAAGATGCAAAAACCCACAAATATTAGCTTATCAAGTCAGGCCAAGTATCAATGCCAACTTAGGTTTATATTAAGAATACAAGGTTGACTTCCACATTAGAAAATTAGGCAATATAATTAATCCTAATTAAGGGTATGTGTAGATACATGTATACACATGTTGATAGCTGTATCTATTTTAAATATGTGGACATAGACATACAGGTGTGTGTATGTACTGACATATATATACAGATAAGGGTATAGAAAAGTATCACAAACAATGATACCTCAAGTTCTAAATTGACACTGTAATTTCTCCATCTGCATCTGTAACAACCTTCTCCAATTGTGAGGAACTTAACTCCTATCATCCTCAATATATTTACTCAACTGCTCGCACATAAAATACACAGAAAGTGTTTTCACAACTGCTAGTACATACTATGACAAAAGTAAATTTATCGACTAGAGTTCAATACTTGTTAATATTATCTTTTTGGCATGAGATAAACTTTATATACAGCTAAGTATACAACACAAAAAGTTTTGATAAATTTATATCCCATCTAACTATCAGCCTTATGAAAATACAGGACATTTTCATAAAACAGGGAAGTTTGCTTTCTTCTAATCAAACATACACTATTATAGTCATATACTTTTCTGGAATTTTGGCCACAGATTAGATTTTACTTTCTCAAATTTCACATAAATTATA